CCTGAGCTGAAGGCAGGGGCTTTAACCCACTGAGCCACTCAGGTGCCCCAGAGTCCTTGCATCTTTCTGAAGAAATTACCCTCTTCTCCTTAGAAAATGTCTTTCTTGCTGCCGGGTAACTCTCCCTGATATACCCACGCCAGCCTTTGTCCCCACCATGGTAAACAATTTGTTGCTCACAGGGGGAGAAAGTAAGATGTCCTTAGGGAGAAGCACAGACAAACTATTTACAGAGATGAAGAAAATTCACAATGGCAAGCACGTTTGTGAGGCAGGCAGACCGGGCAAGCTCATCAAAGCTGATGGCAGAACAGAATCAAGGCAAGGAGAGCCCTATGGATTTGTTTAAAAAAAAAAAAGGCACTTCTGAAAAAGCCTGCAGGAAAATAAAAGGAAACAAACCAGTTACTTCAGGCATCTTTAATGCGGCCACCCAGGTTGGGTGTCAAGGACATGGACATTTAAACGATGGCTCTGCTCCCAACCCTAGTGAAGTCGGCTGGCTCTGTCCTCCGAGGAACATTTCACGGGGGTGGCACTGGGAGTTCTTGCAGCTGCCTGAGGGGCCTTGGCTCCTGTGTGCCTCCGTGTCTGAGCCCTACCCCCTGTGGCCCCCCCAAATCCAAGCCCCACAGTGATCTGAGCAGAGTGGCACCCCGTCCCGCCCAGCTCCTCCCCGTCTCCCCGTGGAGTGAGGGCCATGCCTGCAACCCTCTTTTGACTGGAGTTAATGTGGGGTCTCTTTTTCTAGCCTTTTACTTGGTGCACATGTATCTGTGTGTGTTCTGGGATGGTTCCCATGTGGGGGCGTGTGACCAGTGAGCCCTCTGGGGCTGCGTGAGGTGAGGGTTGCAGCTGGGCCCCCTCCCCTCAGGGTATCACAGCACCGCCACAGGGCAGTGGGCTCTTTGTCCCTGCCGGGACCCTGCAGCTGTGGGTGTGGGGAGGGGCACAGACCCAGACCTATGGGTGTGCTGCTTGCCAATAGCAGGTGTTTGGATGCTTGTGCTTTGGGTTCCGATTGCCCTTCACACAAAGCTGCTCCGCCCCTGCCGCCCCTTGCACTGTGAGCCCCTGAGCCCTGAGCTTCACCTGCCTCAGGGCCTTTGTCTGGCTCCTGTCCTGAGGGCTCCCTGCTGGGAATCCAGACCACATCATGACTCCTGCTATTTCCTGGCGGCCCCTGCTTCCATTACCTGTGCAGGGTGATGGTCCTTCTCTCAGCCCAGCCTGTGCACCCCTGCTCTGGAGAAGGGCCTTTCCCCAGAGGATCATCCCATAGTCCCCATCCTGGTCCCTCAGATACTGTGCCTACTTCCTTCCAGAATACAGGACACATTATGCGAACCAAGGTCATAGAAATGGCCCAGAGCCCAGAACTCTGAGGGTGGCAGGCCCGGGAGTGAGTCCCAGGATCTGCACAGGGCGCGGGGCATGCATGGTGCCCTGGAGTCATGGCTGAGCCCTTGCTTGGTCCAGACATATGCTCTCCTGGCCACCCCAGTGGTTGCCAGGCTGGTGCTGGCTTCTGCCCCCTCCTCTGGGCCCCAGTTTTCTCATCTGTAAAATGGGAAACGAGCACGCCCAGGACTAACTGGATGCAAGGACACTCTGCCCAGGGGACGTGGCTGCGTGCACGGCAGAGGAATTATTGTGGATACTGCCAGCTGCTTCCGTGATTCCTGGGGACAGCAATGGAGTGAGGGTGGGCCATGGCATCCCAGATTGGCGCTCAGCTCCTGAGTCATGAGCTCTCCTGTCAGAAAACCGTTTAGTTTAGTGCACTGCCCTCTCCCCACCCTGGTGACATTTATAAAAAGCTTCCTTCAAAGTCTACCCTGAGAGATGCTCAGGATCAGAAGTTCACTCAACTCTGACAAAGCAGCATTCCACATCTCCTTAGAACTGTCCAGTGACATCAGCACATTAAAGGCTCTGATGTGTCCTGCAAGGAAGGTGGAATAACATGGAGTTGCCAAGTGAACACCTATGGACAGCACAATGAACGAATGGCTGAAAATACTGTATTGTGGCTCCTTCTGGGATAAGACAGGGCAAGTCACTTGAAAGCCTACTCGGCCTCACGTCCCCATTTGCACCTCCCTCTATCCCAGACTTGCCAGTTAGAAGCAAGGTGCAGCAAAGCTAAGTGACCTGACTCTTGCTTCCTGCTGAGTCATGGCCTTGGCAGTTTTGGCCTGTGGTGGAGTCAGATGACAGCCACTGGCAGGCTGGGCCATCTCTCCCTTTGCCTAAGTGAGGCCTCAGTGGGTCTGCTTGTGTCCCCCAGTGAGGGCTGCTGAGCAGTGGGGGGACCATTTTCCCTGTGGGGGGCTGGCAACTGAATGCCAGGAAGCATTGAGGGCTGAGGGAAGGGAGCAAGGGGGACTGTAGGAACCGTCCTCCCGGCAGCAGGGTGTGCAGGCTGTGTGGAGGGAGCTGCACACAGGGGCTGTGGCCCCACACCATCGTTCTGGGGCTATGACCCCAGCCTGCAGGGCCCTGGCTTCCTCTTTTCAAATGGGGCTTTTAATTCCTATGTCAAAGGTCAAGTGAGTTGACTCCCTTAAGCATGAAGAGAACTACAAAACCATGTAAAATAAAAACATGAGGACGTTTATCTCCCTGAAGAATGTCAACTGCCTCCCCTTAGTAGGGTCTGTCAGTGACATCTCAGCTTCTCCCTGACCAGGGGCAGAGGCAGGCAGCAAGGAGCTGGGTTAACAGCCCGCCGCAGAGTGCTGAGTGCAGGTTCATTCCTAGAGCCTTGCTCGCTGGGAGCTGGTGGTCCAGATTCTGTCCACTCTGCAAAACCATAAGTGCTCTAGTTTCTGGGCTGGGTGATGGCTGTGGCCACGGGTCGTGGCAGAAGTGTGTTCCAGGAAGCCCCCAGGGGTGACGGGAGCTGTAGTACCTCTGGTCTCCCTGCTTCAGGCCCACATTATTCAAGGGCCCTTCCTCCAAAAAAACAAAACAAAACAAAAATCGCATTTTATGGTAGCATTGGTCTAAAGACAGATTAATACTGTGTATTAAAACACTTTCTTTGACCTCAAGTTTCACTTTTTCTTCTGACTTCCCTTTACTCTAAGCTCTGCTTACTTGTCTGTAACATGGGGACAATTTGAATCCCTCCCCCTGGCTGAGGCACAGCATGGGCCTGACAGATGACACTGTGGTGACTGGGCTCCCAGCCAATGTGGGCCGAGCTCCTGACACAAAGCCATGAAGGCTGGAACACATTCCATCGTGCTGGACAAGAAACTTGGGCCTGGTCTGACCCTCCCACATGTGAGCATTGAGTCCGGTGGTGACCTCTGGTCTGCTACTCTGTCCCCGCAGCTTCACCTCTGGCTGCAGGAGGGTTTGGAATGATCTCACACCATCTCACAACCAGCTTGATCAAAGACGTTACTGTGATGTGGCAGATGGTATCTCTTTCACTGGAAGCCTTTGGGAACTGTCCCAATCAAGGCTGAGAGAGGCAAGTGGATAAAATTTACCAGTCACAAGCCTTTTGATAAGCACAAAGGTGCCCTTGGTGACTTGAGGCTGTCACTGGTTCAGGTAGGCTAGGAAAGAAAACCCAGCTCCCCTTTCCTGGAACAGGTGCTCCCAGGTATCGGGTCCTGCTCCAGCCTGGGTCACAGAGCCACTTGTATTGGCTAGTATGGATGGACTCTTGGAGGGCCTAGAGGGACAGCAGTAAAGATTTCTGTGGCTTTGGGGGCCTGCCTGTGGAAATGACCTGAGCACCTGCCCTCATGCCTATGTGGCTGGCTGGGTTCCTGCACCAGCCCCTTAGGGACTCCTGCTCATCCAGACTGCCACAGGCTGCATCCTTCCCTCCAGTCCTGGCCACAGCTGGCTTGGCTCCAGAGTCCTTCTCAGACGTGGGGAGGGGGCCCCGCCTGGTGCCTGGGAGCCGCATCCCTGAAACCTCGCCTTACCCTACCCTGCTGTCCCATCCTCTGGGTGTCTTCCCAAGTACCACTCCCTTTTCTACCTAAAAATAGGCCCCCTCCCCACTTCATGCCCTATACCCAGGACGCGGTGAGCACCCATCTGGCCCCTCTCACTACACCCCCTCACTATCCCCCCCCCCACCCCGCGTCCCCGGCAAAGCTCAGGACCTCACATTGCAGAACCCCGGGTCACATGGTCCCTAACGACCTCTGCGGGCCCAGACTGTAGTGCAGCCAGCCAGGAACGCGCGTGCGCGGCGAGCCTGAGCCGGCAGGGCGGTGTCTGCGGCAGGGACAGGGACCAAACCCCACCCCGGAGGTCCGGTCACAGCGGGCGGCCGTCCTCGGGAGGGCCGGAGGGCCTCCTCTCCCCCTGCCCGGGAGGAGCACTGGACCACCACGGTCCTCGGGCACCGGCGCGCACAGCCCGCTCCCACCGCCCTGCCGGACACACCAGGCCAATCCGGAGGGAGACCCGAGAGGACAAGCTCCTTGCCCAATGTCACACAGCGGATCGCAGGCCGGCCGCAGCCGCCCCTGTCAAGGTCACCGCCTGCACGCCCGACCAGCCCGGCGTACGGCCCGGGAGTGGGGACCCTAAATGACCCTTCACGCCGGCCGTGGCCAGACACCCCCACTGCAGCCGCAGGTGACGGCCGCTGCCAGCTTTTGCTGCGAGGTACCAGGACGTCACTTCCCCGGCAAGCCAGCGAGCGCGGTGGGCGGAGCTTCGACTCGGGGGGGGCGGGGCCAGGCGGCGCACGCGCCCTCCGGTAGCCCGCCATGGACGCGCGCTCCCGACAGGGCCGACGGTGGGCGGAGTTGCGGGCGGGACGCCGAGAGGCCGCGCCCACACACCGGCGCAGGGTCCGCCCCCGTGCGCGCGGCGCCGCGGAGGGGAAGGCTCGGCGAGGGCAGGCTGACGGGAGCGGCGGCGGCCAATGAGCGGGGCCGGAGGGGGCGGGGCGCCGGCCGCGGTTGTGTTCCGACGCTGCTGAGGTGCCCGGCTCCTTGCTGGAGGGACGCGACCTGCGAGGCCCGCGCCTCCCGCGCTCCGCCGGTCCAGCTGTGGCCGCGGCCGCTCGGCCGCCCTCAGGTACGCCGCCCGGCGTCGGCCCGTGATGCCCCGACCGGGTGCGCGTGCCCCGTGCGCGCGCCCGCGCGGGGCCGAGCGTGAACTGGGGCCGGACGGTCCCCGCGTCTGTCGGCGCGCGCACGAGCGCTTTCGAGGCTGGACTCAGGGGGGGCGCGGCGGGCGGGCGCTCTGGAGCTCTGGACCCGGCTTGGGGTGTCCCGCCGCGCCGGCTTCAGGGGCCGTGTCAGCGGGGGCTCCGGTTCTCCGGCGCGCGGCTGTCGTCCCGTGGCCGGAGCGGGCGGGCGGGCGGGCGGGCGGGACAGCCGGCGGGTCCGGGGGAGGCCGGCCTTCCGCGGCTTCGGCGGGCGCGGAGCTTCTGCTGGGGTTAGGGCCGGGCTCGCGGGCTCCAGGATGCCCTTTGTGGCTCATGTGGAGCCGGCTGCAGGGCGGTCTCCGAGCGCCGCGAGCTGCGGACGGCGGTTCGTCGGGCCACGGGCTCCCGTGCACGACGCTGGACACGGCATAGATTCTGCCGCTGCCCCAGCGCTCCGGCGCCGCGCGGGTCCGGCGTGTCCCCAGGGGAGCAGGTCCGGGATTGCGTGGCCGGTCGCTGGAGGAACAGGAGAGTGGACATATAGACGCCCTGGCTTCTCCCTCAGCTGCGTCCGTGTGTGCGGGGTCCAGACCGCGGTTCGCGGAGGCAGCCCCACCTGCAGCCCCTCGTCCGGCCCTTGGTGGCTGGGGCCTGGCACCTGAGCCTGCCCCGCGGTTGTGCGGCTCGGGCCCTCTGTTGGGCTCTGGGGTGACCCCAGGAGTGTGCCACGATGGCGGTGGGAGCGAGCGGTGTCAACGGGCCGTCCTAATATTCTGCCCGGGGTTCTCTCGACTGAGGTTGGGTGCGCGGGCCGTAGAAAAGAGAGCCAGAGAGCCGTTGGGATGGCTCTGCAAGTATGGGATGGAGGAAACACCAAAGTTATCGTCATTTTTTAAAAGTGGACATCTGGGGCCCTTACCTAGTCACATGCATGGCTCGTGCGCGCTTATGTGCACGGGGAATGGGCGTCTATTTACTGATAAAACATTCAAGGGAACACAGACGTTTTTCACAGGCGCCTTGCAAACATTTGAAACAAGATTTTAAAAAAAAATTTTTAAATATATTTAAAATTAAAAAAAAATATTTATTTATTTGACAGACGGAGATCACAAGTAGGCAGAGAGAGGGTGGGGAAGCAGGCTCCCGGCTGAGCAGAGAGCCCCATGTGGATCTCCATCTCAGGGCCCTGGGATCATGACCTGAGCTGAAGGCAGAGGCTTTAACTCATTGAGCCACCCAGGCACCCTCGAAACAAACTTTTAAAAAAGTTATTTTATTTTTGTGAAAGATTTTATTTATTTATTTGAGAGAGAGCCCAGGAGAGAGCAAGCACAAGTTGGGGGGAGCAGCAGTAGGAGAGGGAGAAGCAGACTCCCCACTCAATAGGGAGCCCCACACGGAGCTGGATCCCAGGACCCCAGGATCACAAACCCCCCAAAGGCAGTTGCCCAACTGACAGAGCCATCCAAGGGCCCTCAAACTTTTTTTTTTTTTAAAGGAAGTTGAAATTTTTATAGAAATCCCTTTGGCTTTTTCTGCAGTAATGTTTCTCCAAGGAAAGTTGACTCACAATCTTTTGAGCCTCTGTTATGAGTGGCCACCATTTTAAACGTGTCCCAGGGACTTGGGCATATTCACGTATGTTATGGCATTTGATTCCTTGTGGCCTCATGAAGTGTGTGAGTCTTTACCGTTTTCAGTGCAGGAAGGTAGGCCCAGGGAGGTGCGGTCCCCTGCTTGGGGGAGCCCAGCAGGGCTGAAGTCAGTCTTCCTTCCTGCCCACCAGAGCCCGCCATACATCTTTCCTCTCAGAATGAAGTTCGTTTTTCTTCAGTGTGCTATACTTTCCCCATAGTAGTTGGGGGAGCAAAGATGATCTAGTTTACGATGTGAGTTTCTTTGTTGACTTGCGGATGTGGTTTTGGTGCACCTTTATTTTTATTATTATTATTATTATTATTATTTTAAGATTTTATTTATTTGACAGAGAGAGAGAAATCACAAATAGGCAGAGAGGCAGGCAGAGAGAGAGAGAGGAGGAAGCAGGCTCCCTGCGGAGCAGAGAGCCCGACGTGGGGCTCGATCCCAGGACCCTGGGATCATGACCTGAGCCGAAGGCAGAGGCTTTAACCCACTGAGCCACCCAGGCGCCCCTTGGTGCACCTTTAGATGTATTTATTTATTTGAGGGGGAGAGAGAGAGAGGGAGTGCAAGCAATGGGGAGCGGGCCAGAGAGGGAGAGAGAGAAGCCCAAGCAGACTGCGTGCTTGGCAAGGATATCGAGGCAGGGCTTGACCTCACGACCCTGAGATCCTGACCCGAGCCAAAGCCAGGACCCCAACACCTAACTGACTGAGCCCCCCAGGTACCCCTTCTTTGCACCTTTAAACCCCGTGTGGCTCTCCAAACTGTCTAGTTGCAGGCAGATGTTAATATTAGCTATTGGTTCATCAGGATGGGTGACGCTGGTCTTTTTGTTTTGAAGTCTCTTCAAAAAGATGTCATGTGTTTCAGTAAGCACCAGCTTTGTGGGGCCAGCACAGGGCTTTGCCTTAGGGTTTTCCAGGAGCTACTGAGTATGGCCCCTAAGCATGCCCTGTTAGGAAAGGTACGGACCCCTCCAGTGGAGCTGGACCCCAGGCTCCACCAAAGGAAAACAGTTGAGTGATTCTGGTGGTCTGCTGTGGCTATCCCTTGTGGCTTGTACCCAGGAGTGTGCATGTAAGGACGTGGCCCCTTCCCCTTGGTCCCTAGCCTCTGTGTGATGCAGGAATGGTGCTGAGGCCCGCCTCCTGCACGCCAGAGGGGTGTTTGGCCCCATCTGACTTTGTTAGTTGTGTGGCAGCATTAGCCAAGCCTCCAGAAGTGGTGGCTTCAGACAACAGGAACTACTTACTGTTGCTCACAGGCTCAGGGGTCCAGAATTCTCAACAGCTGGTCTGTCTTTGCTGGGGGAAAGGGGGCATGTGCAGGTTGGTCCATTGCTGGCTGGGGCCCAAGCGTCTCCTTGCGGGCATCCCCCTCTTTGCCTGCAGTACCTGGGCTGGGAAGGCTTGAGCAGCGGGGCCCCTGGGGCTCTTGGTCTCCATGAGTGCAGCAGCCTTGGGACGCATCCTGCAAGAGCCAGGAGGTGGGAGGGCCTCTCCCACCCAAGTCTCGGAAGTCCCCGTTGAAGGGCAAGTTGAAGTCGGCCTTCTTGTGGGAGCTGCGCCAAAGAATCCACAGTCACGTGCTCAGACCCGCATGGTACTGAGGGCTGGTTCATAACGAATGTCCAGCCAGGCCATGTGGTTGCCTGGGTACTCCTTGAAGGACAGTCCGAGACCTGGACTTGGTTGTCCTGCGTGAGCTGCGTGGTGGGGAGTCCACATGGTGCCCCTGGAGTCTGGAACGTGCTCCGTCTCACAGTGTTGGTGGGCCTACTTCCTATGGTTTTCCGTGGAAACCATCTTGGGCACTTGGTGGTTCTGGGCTGGGAAGAGGGCCCGGCTCTGGCCTTTCGTTCCTGGGGACGCTTCCTGTGACTGAGGACACTCGCTGAGTGTGTGCAGTGTGGCAGGCTCTGGGCACAGCACACTGACTGGGAACTTAGAGCTGTTCTCCCGGTTCATGCTCCGGAAAGCAGCATGGAGGAGCTGGCCTGTCTCGTCCAGGACCCAGGTTTGAGCTCAGGGGTCTGACTCACGGCCAGGGCAGGGCTTCAGGTTGCAGGCCAGCCAGGCCTCTGCCTGGGACTTGGGAGGCTGAGAGACTGCGTTTGGAGCCGGCTGGATCCACATACCAGGCTCCTGGGGCTCTGGCAGCTGGCTGTCAATGCAAGCTCCTGGGTTTGCTTATTTTATACATATTGTTAAAGATTTTACTAGATTTATTTATTGGAGGGAGAGAGAGTGTAAACACCAGTGGGCGAGGGGCAGAGGGAGAGTCAAGCTGACTCCCCGCTGAGCACAGAGCCGGACTTAGGGTTTGACTTCAAGGCCCTGAGTCCATTACCTGAGCCGAATCCAAGAATTGGATGCTCATCCGACTAAGCCCCCAGGCGGCCTGCAGGTTCCTTTATTCTGCAAGTTTCTGTATGGGACAGCCTGCTGCTGCTGGCCTCCTGAAGGGGCATGGCCCTGGTCATCCCTCTGCCATGAGACCAGGTTGCGCAGGGCCCCTCTTAGCGTGAGCTGAAGGCAGAGATGACAGGCATGGAGGAAGCCACCAGCCTGAAAGCAGAAGCCAGGATGGGCAGAGAGGACTGAGGGAGAGAGATGGTCCAGTGCAGGGAGCGGAGAAGCTGGGGCTGGGTAGCAGCGGAGGCCAGGGAGCCAGGGGAGGCTGGCACAGGCAACTCATACATATGCAGCAGGTCCTGTGGGTCCTCGGTGGGCACACTCCCAGGGCTTTTGAGATAAAGCATGTCCCTGGAAGCCTTGCAGCATGAGGTAGGGGGCCACTCCTGGAATCTGGTCAGCAGCAGCAGAGCGGCAGAGACTGAAGGCAAGGGAGAGCCAGCCCCGGTGTCCTGCGTCCAACCACCAGCTGGTCCAGAAACAGACCAGGGGCATGGGTGGGCAGCACTCCACAGTGACACCAGCAAATCCCATTAGGAAGTGCCCTTGCGAGTTTTCTGACCCCTGACTCGGGGAGAAAGAAGACCATGTGAGCCCCGCAGGCATCCAGGGAGGGGGACAGGGTGTGGGCACCCTCCCAGGCAACCCCCCACACCTAAAGCTGCCAGATCAGTGCAGTTCCGGGCCGGGGGGTGGCCCCCCTCACCTGAGTGGAGGCTGGGGGTATGGAAGAGCTGAGTTGTTTTCGAGTTTTATTCTTCTGGGGAGGAGTTTGTATTGGGCAGGTACATGGCATGTGAGAAAAGGTGGGTTGTTAACATTGGGGAGCGACTCCCCTGTGCAAGCTCAGCCAGGAGTGCTATTTATGGGGACATGATAGTGTCCGTGGTGGCTCGATGGAGTGTTCAGACAGCTGTTCTGGGAGGTTTGGAGGTGGAAGGTGGGGAGTCTCTGGCCCTCACTGTGTTGGTTAGGGGAGGAGGGCATCCCGGGCTTGTGCAAGAGCTATAGGAGAGGTCTGGTCGTTTGTGCTCCCAGAGGTGCCCGTGAGCCCAGACACATGTCCTCTGTCAGTCCTCCTAGTGGCTCCTGAGGAGTTCCCATCCCCCACCTTTCACCTCTCTGTCCCTGGGGCCGACCCGTCTTCTCACCTGGTCCCTGGCTTCTGGCCTGCCTGTGTCTGGCCCCAGTGCCCAGAGTCCTGGCTTTGCCCTTGTTTCCTAGTGGCACCTGCTCACTCTCAGTCTTGGCTTTCTTCTCTGAGCCCGCACACCAGCTTCCCTACTACTTGCACCTGCCCCCACCTGGCTTTGTTTTGCTTGTCTCTTGCTTTTGCTGCAGGCTGTGCATTCCCTCAGGGCCAGGGCACTGTCCTGAGTGGCTCCATCCCTGGCTCGCTCTGCTGTGACTGTGTGCTAGGCTTTGTGACCATGATGTTCCATCCTGATGGTTCCATCTCTTATACAGGGAGCTGGCTTGGCATTGTGGATTGAATTGTGTCCCCCAAAAGAAAGATTCAATAGGACCTGTGCATATAACCTTCTTTAGAACTAGGTCTTTGCAGATATAATTAAGATATAAATTAAGGTGAGGCCACCTATTGCTTTAGAGTGGGGGTGTCCTTAAAAGAAAGGATGTGGGTACAGGACAGACAGGAAGAGGGCTGTAGGAACATGTGGGGCAGCTGCAAGCCGAGGGCACCAGGCATTACTGGCCACAACCAGGAGCTGGGGGAGAGGCAGGGAACCCATCTCCTGTGGGGTGCCCAGAGGAGCCAACCCTGCCTGCATCTCGACTTCCCACCTCTGGCCTCCAGTTCCCGGCAGCCCCAGGAAGCTACTACACTCAGATTTCAGTGCATACCCAGTGGTCCCCCGAGCCGTGGCTTTGCCTTCGTGGTTTCAGTCGCTCACTGTCAGCGCGGTCCAGAGGGTGATGATCCTCCTCCTGACTGTGGCCAGAAGGTCAACGGTAGCCTGACACTAGGTCACGACACCCATGTCATGCTCTTCCTCCATCTCACACGGGCAACTACGTTAGTTCTTATTTTTTACATTTTTTAGAGAGTGGGGGGGAAGGGCAGAGAAAGAGACACTGGCGCGGACCCCTGGCTGAGCATGGAGCCCCATGCAGCTCGGTCTCAGACCCTGAGATCATGATCTGAGCTGAAACCAGGAGTCAGCTGCTCAACTGACTGAGCCCCCCGGGCGCCCCTCATGATAAAATGTGGGCACTTTATTACCTCACATTGTCACAAGAAGAAGGGTGATTGCAGGACATTTTGAGAGAGAGAGACCACACTCACACTTGTATCGCAGTGTACATTACCCTTGTGCTAGTATATTGTTATTCTTGTTAATCTCTTGCTGTGGCAACGTGTGAATTAACTTCATCACAAGTACGCATGCGTAGGAGAAAACAGTACAGTTAGCCCTTGAACAATACAGGGGTTGGGGGGTCGAAAATCCATGTAGAACTTAGGAACCCCCCAAAACTTGCCTGCTGATGAACTCCTGGTGTCTGCAAGTGTTACTGATGGCATGAACCGTTCGGGAGCACCCGTCTGTGTGTTCCCATGTCTTGCGTGCTGTGTTTTTGCAATCAAGTAAGCTGGGGAAAAGGAAATGCTATTAAAATTGTAAGGAAGAGACATTTCCAGTGCTGTCCTGTGTTTATGGATGAAAAGCCCCCCGTAAGTGGGCCTGTGCAATTCAGACCGTATTGTTCAGGGGTTGATGGCATCTGTAGGGTTTGGTACTGTCTGTGGTTTCAGGCATCTCAGGGGGGCCTTGGTATCCCCTGTGGGTGCGGCGCACGCCCGAATGGCCACCTGATACTATGCATTTCTTCTCACAGGAAATGAAACTTGCATGCTCAGCCCTCCTTCCCCATCTTGGTGGCCTCTGGAAGGTGCCGCCAGTTGCCCGGTGCCGTCCCTTCCACACGCAGGTGCACCCTGTGCCCCACTGTGACCTCCACTCGCCAAGGTCACGCTGGCCAGCCCTTGCATTTGGACACTGCGCACTTTGTTTTATTCTGTTCTTTTGAACCTCTGTTGAGAGTTGTGATATAGCCGTGTTTGCTGTTGCCATGGACTGTGCCAGCCGGGGCCCCTGCTCCTGTCTGACAGGCGCCTGAGCAGGACCGTCTGGGGAGCGTGTGCTGGTCTCCCATCTGTGGGGCTCCTTCACATTGCCGTGTCTGCCCTGGAGCCCACTCTCTGACTGGGGCAGGCGTTGGGGGAGGTCATCAGGTCCCCTCTGTCCCCTCCAGGCTGGCCCGTGCCCCACTCCTGTGTTTCGTGCCCCTGACACTGTGGGAGAACACTGACCAGTTCCTTTGTGCCCTTTACCTCGTGTGGGTCTGTCGGGCATTTCCTCAGTCCGGGTAGAACCCCTGGGTGTAGGCAGCAGCTATGTCCGGCCCGCATGCCACACGCGGTCACCCGTCCCCGGGACTGCATATTCCACTGTTCCAGGTGCCGTCTGCCATCTCTGGACGCAAGACCAGTTCCCTCTGTGTCATTAGCCAGTATCTTGTTGGGGGAGGCTTGGATACCATGTGAGAACACCAGGGTGGTGTTCACGGATGACTCTTGCCTGAAGCAGCGTAAGGTGTTGGTTACACGCTGACCTAAGTAAAGACAATCTGTCCTTCCGTCTGCACTCCTTGGTCTGCACCCTGCGTGTGGGACCAGCTTCCCTCCGCTACTTGTGGATCTTTCCCAGCTGTTCATGTCAGATTCCTGGGCTCTCACTTCATTCTGTAGAGCAGAGCACTTACGTCTGGGAGCCCTGGCCCCATTCTCTGCACGTATCCTGGCTTCCTGGTGCCCCAAGACCCCCGGGGCCTCTGTCCGTGCCCCAGCCCTGGAAACCAGTGGTCTCCCCAAGGGATGCGTGACCTGGTTTTCCAGTGAAAAGCTGGTCATGTTATAGTTTGTTCAAGTTTTGCTGTGGCTGCTATAGTTTTTCCAGAGTTGCACATGCCGTGTGCTGCTCAGAGGGTCAGATGGGAGGCTGGGAGAGCCCCTGAGTGCTGGGCATGGCGGGCACAGGAGTTGGAGGGTAGGGTCTTGGCCCTTGTGGGTGGGTGTAATTGCAGCAGAGCTGGTTGGCCTGGAGGGCCCCTGGTAGTGCCCCCGTCCTGAGAGGGAGGTTCTAAGTTGGGGCTCCGGGAGAATTTGTGGGGAGAGGCAGAGCCAGGCCAGCTTGCGGGCTCGGTGGGTCCGGCCCAGGGGACCGTGGGTGAGTGGGGCAGGTGTGGGGATGGGGCAGGCTCTGAATTGGCTCCCTGGAGATTATCTTCTGTCACTGTTCTCATTTCTTAATTTCTGAGAGCTCTTTTCATTTTTCTTTAAATACTTGTTTTTTTTTATTTTTTATTTTATTTATTTGACCCATCACACATCTCTGAGCACACGGTGCCCGCACCCTGATGCCCCTCATGCCGGTGCTATCTATCCCTTCCGATGGCCTCTCTCTCAATCCGTCCCCCCAGCTTCCTTACCTGGCTTGAGGTTCAAGTAGGCAGAGAGGCAGGCAGAGAGAGAAGGGGAAGCAGGCTCCCCATTGAGCAGAGAGCCCTATGCTGGGCTAGATCCCAGGACCCCGGAATCATGACCTGAGCCGAACACACAGGCTTTAACCCACAGAGCCACCCAGGCACCCCTGAATACTTGTTTATAAGGGCATTCTGATCTTATTCTGTGGGTTGGGTGCCTTCTCCCTCTGAGGTCAGGACCGATGCTGTTTCCTCTGTGTGTCTGGGGCCCTCCTGTCAGGCTGGCGCTCTCCATGGCTTCCAAGGCAGGTGGCCCTACTCACGCTCAGCAGCGGGCCGCTGAGAAGGTGAAAGCTGGGGATGGCGAGTGGGTGGCAGGCTGCACAGGGGCTCAGGAGTCTCCCCCTGCTGGTGTCTGTGGGCAACCAGGTCCCAGGTGCAGCATGAGTGCCCACTCCTGGGCTTGGAGGGCCCCCCCAGCTGCCCCTACAGCCTCCCCACTGCGGGGCCTGGGGTGGGCCCTGCACCCCCTGTGGCCTCCCACATGGGGCCAGCTGGATGGACTGGGGGAGGGCTGTGTAGCCGCTTGGGGGACAGTGGTGCGTGGGGGTTCAGTAGTTAGTTCTCAAGCAGCTGGTTCTTGGGGTAGGCTGTGGCTTCCTGCTCCTGCCCATCTTCCCCACGTCTCCCCTCCACCACCGTCTGCTCTGCTGTGGTGGTTGGGGAGGCGGGTTGGCCTTCAGGGCTGCTTTCCTTGGGGCTTCGGGAGCACTGGACCTCAGCTGTGCATGTAACCTACCGTCCTTTGACCAGAACGGCGCTTTTAGTGGTTTCTGGGCACTTGTACAGTGGTTGTGAAGCAAGAGGGTTTTTATCAGCCGGAGATAACAGAAATATTCTGCACACAAAGTACTCAGCATAGAGTAGGAGCACCGACCCAGTGGTTCTGCACATAATCACTTCTCTCTCTTCCCCACAAACACAGAGTCCTGAAGAGTCCCTGGAAATGGATCCCTCCTCTGTAAAGCGGAAATCCATCCGGAGGGTCAGCTCTGACCCAGCAGTGGCCCAGGCCTCCTGAAGCTTGCTGTTGTGCCTCCCAGGGCCCCTCGGTACCTACACAGGCTCCTGACCATGGTCACATTCATTACTGAGAAGCTGCAGAACCAGAGCCTGGATGACCTTGCCCACAAGAGCTACGATGCCAGCCCGGTAAGCTGGCTGTGACGGCCACAGGCAGGACCCTGTGCCCTGCCAGCGGTCGGGGGGTGACTGGCTGGGCTGGACTGTGCAGCCAAGGTCTGTGGGGACGTGGTGGGAGGAGGGCTGGAGGGGGCTGTGTCCTGGGGCCGGGCTGTGCACATGCAGCCCCACATCTCAGCGCCCTCATGGTGGGTTTTTAGCCTCATTAAAAACAAATCCCAGCTTTTAGTGAATGTCCACTCAGGTCCTGGAGATGTGCCAGTCCTGAGTGTGCAGCACGTAGCTCTCTGTACCCATCACACATCTCTGAGCACACGGTGCCCGCACCCTGATGCCCCTCGTGCCGGTGCTATCTATCCCTTCCAATGGCCTCTCTCTCGATCCGTCCCCACAGCTTCCTTACCTGGCTTGAGGTTCGTGTAGGTGGAGTAGGTTTTCCAGGGTCGCATGAGTGCGACCTTCAGGACTGTCTGGGTTGGGCTGTAGGTGCGGGTGGAGGTGTCTGGGTATGCAGCCCACATGGTGCTCAGAGGCCTTGAACAGTCTTGCTGATGCCAGGTGCCCAGAGTGCTGTTGTTGCAGCTGGGCTGCGAGTCAGGGCTCCCTGTGGCGGCAGGAAGCTGGGTCTCCAGGCCTCTGTTCATGGCCCACCGTCACCATCACCATCAGTGTCACTGTGGGTGGCTGTGAGGTTCCGAGTCTCAGTGCTGCGGACGGAAGTGCCAGGGCTGGGGGGGGTTGGCCTGTGTCTGCAGCCCAGGGGTTTAGGGGCATCCAGGGGCTTTTGTGGGGTGTGGCTCTCCGGCCTGGAGCTCGGGGCCCTAATGGGATTCTGGCGGCACGCCGTGTGCATGTTCTCACCCTCCCCTGTGCTCAGCGCAGTGACTGTTTCCTGGACAGTGACTGAAAGCCAGGCTGTAGTACATCACACATGGTGTCCGATGGCCCCATGCCCTTCAGACGGTGTGGCCGGGAGCTGGCGACCAGGTGCTTTGTGGCTTTGCTGGGGAGACGGGTGACAGATCGGGCCTGCAGGGCCCCCGTGGAGGAGTGGACATGGCTGGACCTACCACGTTTGGGGAACATGTCACCCCTCTGGGGGGAGAGAAGGGCCGCTGGGAGCACCCTGCGCAGGAGGAGGGCCCACATGGTCAGCCCGTGGCGCTCCCGGCTCCGTTCTCTGCCCTTGGGGGCGATCTGTGTGTTTCCTCAAGACGTGTATTTTGTTTTGTTTTGTTTTGTTTTGTTTTGTTTTGTTTAAGATTTTATTTATTTATTTGACAGACAGAGATCACAGGTAGACAGGCAAGCAGAGAGAGAGGAAGAAGCAGGCTCCTGCTGAGCAGAGAGCCCGATATGGGGCTCCATCCCAGGACCCTGAGATCATGACCTGAGCCGAAGGCAGAGGCTTTAACCCACTGAGCCACCCAGGTGCCCCAAGACATGTGGTTTTGATGAGATAGATAACTTGTTAATTATGTGGTAGGTCTTTCTTCCTGAAACAGGAGCACAGGCCTTTCCTGACCCCAAGACGAAATCTACAGCAGCCATTTTGCTGTTGGAGAGGTTTGGTGTGTGTGGAGTGAACTGTGGCCCAGGGAGGCTGCTGTGGGGTCAGGGCCACTGTGCGGTCGGGGCTATGAGCTGTGGGTCCACGGGGCCCGCACGCAGGTGTTTGTTTAGAGAGAGGGCGACGGCGAAACAAATTTTACCTGTGAGTCCTCCCATCATGACGCAAATAGATTTACTTGGTGTCAGTTCCCAATGGAAGAGAATTGCCTCGTTACCAGTAGGCCTTTGGCCGACCTCCTGGGGAGGCTGGTCCCTGCGTTTGCAGGGTTTCTGCCCACATCTGCTGATGCTTTGTTTATAGAAACCTGCTGTTTTTAACTGCTCACTTAAAAAAAAAAAACAGATGTAATTTATAGGCAGTGAAAGGCACTAGTGCTCCTGTCTTTTCGAGCCAGAAGTCTGTTGTCTCTGTCACGTTTGACATTGGGCTTTAGTAAGGCCAGTACGGTCAACTCTGCAGAACTTGTCAGGGTCCTCGGCGGTCAGCGATTTACCTGGGGACTGCCCCCTCATGCTGCCTGCGTGCATCTCGGTGCATGGTACTTCTAACGTTCACGGAGACAAGTTGACAGTTTAAAAAGCCAATTTGTTGTCTAGGAATAGAAATGCAAGTTTTTGAAGGTGGCTAACGTTCGTATTTTCATGGCAAAATCAGAACACAGGTAAGAGTAGAGCTTTAGAGACCTTGAGGTCAGCACTGTCAGGCCCTGGCCTCTTGTCCTGTCTGTGCCGTCCCCCACAGCCCGCCTGTGGTTGTCTCACAGTGAGTTCTAGACTGTTCTTCTCGGACTGTTTCTGTTTGTGTCTCTATAGACGTCTTTTCGGGTGTCTCCTGTCCCCGGTGTGTTGCACAGATGGCTAGTAAGAGCCAGGCTGCCCCATGTGACAGCCCCTAACCCATGTGGCTTTTTAAATTGAAATTAAAGCTAATTAAAATTAAACACAACATGCTATTTCTTGTTTGCATTAGACACACGTCAGGTGCCCTGTGTCTCGACGTGGCCAGTGGCTCCCACAGCAGGCGGTGCATTGGTGGCCCCTCCTCCCAGGAGGACCTCCAGGACAGCGCTGCCGGGTGCGACCAGAGTCCCCTTGGATAGACTGCATTCTGTCTGTCCGTTTGTCGGTTGGTGGACATCTGGGTCGCTTCTGCTTGGCGGCAGTTACCAGCACCACTGCCGTAAATGTTTGTGTACAGGCGTCTTTGTTTCTCTTGGGCGTATGTCCAGGAGTGGGACTTGTGGGATGTGTTGTGACTCTGTTTACTCTGAGAAACCGAGCTCTTTCCTGCAGCGATCACACCATTGTGCACCGAGAGTCCTCAGTCTCCTCATCCTCCTTAATACCTGCAGCCATCCCGCTGTCTGACTCCAGCCACCCTGACAGCTGCTGTGTCCTTGTGGTTTGATCTGCGCTTCCCTCCCGAGTAATGATGCTCACCCTTTTCTCATGCCCTCTGGCCATCGGTGGATCGTCTTTGAAGAAAGAGGTCTTCAAGTCTTTTGCCCATTGAAAAACTGGGTTGCCTGTTTTTTAATTTTTGAGTTGTTAGGATTCTTTATATATTCTGATCCATAATCAGATATGGGATTTGAAAAAACATTGTTCTGTTTTGTGGATGTCTTTCTTGATGGTGTTCTCTGAAGCACAAAAGCTTTATTTTATCGAAGTCCAACTGATCTCTTTTTCCTTTTGTTGCCTGTGCTTTTCATGTTGTATCTAAGAATCCTTGGCTAAATCCGAGGTCATGAAGGTTTACTCTTCTGTGTTCCTCTATCAGTTGTATATTTTTAGCTCTTACATTCAGGTGTTTGATCCCTTTGAGCTACTTGTAGTGTGTGGTGTGAGGTAGGGGTCCAGCTTCGTTCTCTTGTGTGTGGATCTTAGTTGTCCCAGGACCATCTCTTCACAGGACTCTTCCTTCCCCCTGACTGGTCCTCGGCGTCCTTGCCAAAAGTTTACATTTTTTTAAAAATAAAGTCTCTGAAACCTAGTGTGTACTTTACACTTACAACAGATCTCAGTTTGGACACCAGGTTCTCATTACAGAAATGTCTGATCTGTGTTTAGGTTTCGTGAAATTTATCGTTGAAGAAGTAGATTTCACACACTCCACTTGTTCTAAGGGCACTGAAAAGTTTTCCAAAAATTGAATCATTTGTTTTAAAACTAAAATTCAGGATACTTGTAAATAAAATTGGAAATCACTAAACACTTGGTGCCTTTGTCTCTCCAGCCATGTGCCGCTCTGGTCACTCACTCATCCCTCCCTGAGGACTGCCACCTGCTGCGTGGTCAGGAGCAGGTGGTAGGAGCGGAAGGCCTAGTGGGGGCACCTTGTCCAGTCTTGAGGGCTTGATCCATTTGAGGGTCTCTGCCCTGTCAGACAGAGAGCTGACATGTGTCTCGAGGGTCAGTGCCCCTGTGTAGCATGGTTCAGTCAATACAGATGTGCGGAGTGCTCTGTGCGCCTGGCTGTGCTGTGCTTAGTGCCTCCTTGTGGGTGTTTTGGTTGACCCCATGGCCACTCTGTCCTCACCCATTCAGTGGGGGTAGTTCCTTTGTTTTATGTTCCTTTTTCTCTGGCCTCAGGTGCATTCCCACTTCCCGCCAAGGCCCCTAGTCTCTTACAAAGCCTTCTGAACATGGGGGGGTGGGTGTCAGCTCTTCTTGCTTTGCCTCTGTGACTCTTGGGGGACAGAGGCTAGTCTAACTGTGACCAAAAAGGCCTAGAAACACATGAGTTTGTGTCCGGTTCCCACTGTCCCATCCCCTGCCCAGACAGGACTCTGTCTCAGGTGTCTGGTGTTTTCCGTAGCTGGTGCTCTGGGTCACGTCAGTAAATGCTGTCTGTCCCCATGAGTGTGGATGGGGAACCTGGGGCAGCTCCATCCAGGGCCATAGTCTGTGGTGATGGGAATGCTCCCTGCTGGCCCAGTGTGTGGCTACTTAAAGCATGGGGTTACTGAGCCCCACGATGTGTCTGGGGTAATGGGGAGCTGGGAGTGTTTTGTGTAATTGAAGTTTGGGTTTTAGTCACAGCCTCTGGTTGCTGGCTATTGTGTGGGGCAGCGCAGAGTGTGAACTCCGTTCCCTGAGGGTCCACCGCTCTCTCCTGTGGACCCGCTGTGGACACACCTGTTCCCTCCAGCCAGGCTCTTCCACCTCCGTGGCTTGTCGTTCAAGAATTGTCTGCACCAAGTCCATGACCTTTGGGGAGAAGCTTGTTTTGCTCCTCACGGCGCCCAGAGTTGTGTCCGGGTGGTTTTGGGGTCCGTGGGAATGAGGGGCACTCACATGAGGGTGCACTGTTTGCCCGCTGTAGGGTGGTCGCAGCTCTGGTGAAAACCCCACGGTGCTTATGGAGCCTGACCCTGCGGCTCTTGGGTGAGCTATAGCTTCTGGGCTTCATTCGTGTATGGCCTATGGCCACGGCGGGGTCTGGGGGTGCAGGGTGCTGCGTGAGGCTGCAGGGGCAGCGAGGGGCTTGGGGGGTGCATGTTGTGGGGTGTCGGGGCCGAGGAGGAGGGTCGTGAGCTGGGGTGCTGTGGGGGTGGACGTTCAGGGGTCTAGTACTCCCAGCTGTGGTGTGGGCTGTCCACAAGCCACGTGCCCAGCTGCACAGGTACAGGCTTGGATGGTGGGGAGTTTGGCTTTCAAAAACCTTTCATGGAAAATTCGTTTTTTAGTGAGGCAGACTTTGCACATGGTGGAGCGTGACACGGGCTCTGCTGTCCTGTTGGGTGAGGTTTGCTGGCTGAGCACACGGGTAATGCTGCCTCCACCACCCAGATGGGTTCTGACCTTCTGGGGGCCCATGTGGCCTAGCCCGTCCTGGGTCGTCTGGGCTGTGTGGCCTGTCCTTTTGGAGTCCGGCTTCTTTCCCTGGTGGGAACTCGGGAGACTCGTCATATGGATGGTTGTTGGTGCTTCTGTCCTTCCTCTGCAGTGCGGTCTCTGTCCTGCTGTCAGTGGACGTTTGGGCCCTTCCCAGGCTCTGGCTGCTGAGACAGACGTTGCTGAGTGGCCCACGTGCGGTCCCCAGGGGCTGGGTCTGTCTGCAGTGCCCTGGTCATGCCTGGCGCCGTGTCCCCAGGCTCTGCCTGCTTTCCCCAGATGACGAGGGAGATTGTGCCTCTTGTTCTGCTCAGTGGCCAGTTGTGAGTGACTTAGGTCTTTGGCTATTTTCCTGTTGGGTCGTGTGCCTTTTTTTTACTGGTCTGTGGGAAGTCATTGATACATTCTGCTATGAGCCTTTTCTTGGATTCCTGTTTGCAAATATTTTCTCCTGTCTTGTGGTTTGCTTTGTCACAGGTGACTTTCAGTGAACATAAATTCTGATTTCAGCGTAGATGGAAGCATCCATTTAAGTTAGTGTGTTTGATCTCACTTAAGAAATCTTTGCTACCCTGGGGCTTGAAGATATCCTCCTGTTTTCTTCTAGAAGCATCTGTTTTCCTTTAGCTTGAAAACTGCACTCTCCCTGGAGCCGAGTAGTGTGTGAGATGAGGCCAGGCTAAGGGTGGATTTTCTTTCTTGTGCCCTTTCTGGAAATGGCAGTCCTCTATCCACCATCAGTTGGTAGGTTCTGTGCTCTCACATAGCCCAGGAGCTACCCCATGTGTGTGTCCCACTCTCACCCTGGCCCAGGTGGGGAGACCGAGCCTTACACAGAGGAGCTGTCCTGCCTCTGTCAAGGATGCCCAGGGGAGTGGACTGCAGGCCGTGGGCTGCATGGGCTGACCCTGGGCTCTGGTGGACGGCGTCGTGGCAGGTGTGGTGGGGCTAGGCCTGCCTCGGAGCCAGCCTGTGGTTTCGTGGCCCCTGGCGTCCTGTGGGCATGTTTGGAGGCAGCCTTGTCTGGTCAAAAACAGCATGAAGTAGGGTATACAGACCCATTCTGGACGTGGAGGCCCATGCCGCTGCAGCTGTCCTCCCACAGAAAGGCCCGGGGCCAGCCCTGCCCCGCTCCCCAGCACAGGCGCAACCCACAAAGCCTATGCCCTCTGGCTGTCCCACGTGGCTGCTGCACCTTCACACTGGGCTGGAGCCTGGGCCCCTTGCGTGAGAGCCACCGGAACCTTTCCTTGACAGACGGTGCTTCTGTTCAGGTTTCCTATTGTGTGTGGGGATGACAGCCCTCGGAAAGTGCTTGTGCCTGGTGCTCACCTGGGGGACAGTGGCTGGCCAATCCAGCTTGCGGCAGGGGGCATGGTGGATGGGGGCTCTGGGAGGGCCATGGGGGGTGCTGTGGGGCACAGGGGGGTCTAGGAGGGCCATGGGGGTAGCTGTGGGGGGTGCTGGGGTGCTGGGAGGGCCTTGGAGGTGCTGGGGGACTGGGAGGGCCTTGGGGGCCACTGTGGGGGTGCTGGGGTGCTGGGAGAGCCTTGGGGGGCACTGTGCGGGTGCTGGGAGGGCCTTGGGGGTGCTCTGGGGGTGCTGGGGAACTGGGAGGGCCTTGGGGGTGCTGTGGAGGTCTGGGGTGCTGGGAGGGCCTTGGAGGAGCTGTGGGGGTGTTGAGGTGCTGGGAGGGCCTTGGGGGATACTTTGGGGGTGCTGGGAGGGCCTTGGGGTGTTGGATTGGGAGGGCCTTGGGGGATACTTTGGGGGTGCTGGGTGTTGGGAGAGCCTTGGGGGTACTGTGGGGTTCTGGGGTGCTGGGAGGGCCTTGGGGGGTGCTGTGGGGGTGCTGGGGTGCTGGGAGGGCCTTGGGAGCACTCTGTGGGAGCTGCAGGTCCCTGGGGAGGATTTGTAGTCATAGAGAGGTTTGATTCCTGATGGTGTAAATGACTGGCTTCTGTGTTGACTACTTCCTGGAAGTTAGAGAGCTGCTTCCTCCTTGTGCTGCCTGACCTGGGTCTCAGGTCTTTAGAACTGCTGGTCCCCTGGTCCTCCTCTGGTCGGCCAGGTCTCTCCAGGTCTTTGTAGCCCTGCTTGGTGATGCGGGCCTGGCCCCAGAACAGCATGTGTCTTTGCCAAGGCTGGCTGTTGATGAGCACTTTTTCTGGGTCCTGAATGACCTCTATCCCTTTATGAGAATCAGCAAGGATCTCCTTCTAATTTAGCACCAGTTCAAAGGTCGCAGGGCCTGACCCCTTAGGAAGCTGGCCTCGGGAGAGGTTTTCTGCTCGTGGAGGTGGAAAGGCAGAACCTGTTGAGCAGCTCCAGGACCCTACAGGATGGTTCTATGTCCCCACAGCACCAGGGGCTTGCCCTGGGGACCCGGCCGGATGACGATGGTGCCTCTGGGCCAGGTGGGGAGAGCCCAGAAGAGCAGACAGACACAGGCAAGCGTTACTGACCTGCCAGGCAGCCCCTCTGGTGCCACAGGGAAGATTGCAGCCGAGACACAGAGTTTTGCGGGCTCCAGGGAGACCCCACTGCCTTTAGGGCCTGGCCTGGGGGCTGGTTATGCGTGGGAGAGGGCCTGCGTGGGGAGGCCTTGAGGATGGCCCTGGCTGTGGGAGGTTGCACTATCTGCTAGAGCACACGGGGGCGTGCACGTGGCTTTTGATCTTCTTCCCTCATTTGAGTGTTGTTGGCTTTTAAGAATCTTGATTTAGAAAAAAAGGTATTCTGGGGTCCATGCTTTTCTTTTTTCTTTCTTTTCTTTTTTTTTTTTTTAAGATTTTATTTATTTATTTGACAGAGAAATCACAAGTAGGCAGAGAGGCAGGCAGAGGGAGGGGGAAGAAGGCTCCCTGCTGAGCAGAGAGCCCGATGCGGGGCTCGATCCCAGGACCCTGAGATCATGACCTGAGCCAAAGGCCGAGGCCCAACCCACCCAGGCACCCCTGCTTTTCTTTTTCATTGCCAAAAAGACAGTGTTGGGGAAGATAGAAGGGGTTGCCAAGATGAGACCATCACGTCAGCTTTGACTTGGTGTTGCTGTGTACTCGGCATCTGTCCACGGTGTTCATACTGGCTTTTTTTGTCACTTTCAGCGTTCTGCTGGGGCACTGAACAACAGTGGTCATTTGTTCCCTTTTGAGAGCGATGGTAAGTAAGTGTTGCAAAGCCCAAACCTGTCTTCCTGGGCTTCTGTGGCCACGGGCAGGGGACGGTGTGCAGAGGGCATGAGATGTGGAGCTGGGGTATGGTGCTGACTTCCGTAGCAAAAGCCTGCGGGTGGTGTGTCTCCTGTTGCTGCCGGGGAACGTCACCAGCAGCAGGCCTCTCCCTGCTGGGCTGTAGGTCAGAGCGCGGCCCGGTCTCTCCCTCTGCCAGGCCAGGCCCTTCTGGAGAGGCCCACCCTCTGGGGCCCTGTGGCCACTGAAGGGAGAACAGGGCGGGATTGGGTGCACCTCGGAGGGCGTGTGCATCTCCCATGTGGCCCACGCTGGGCCATCAGTGTGGGTTGGGGCTCAGCACCCTGCCAGGCATGCGCCCCCCGACCATCTAAAATCCACCCTGTGTGACTGTGTAAGTAAGTGTGTGCAGAGCCTGTTGCCCTCTGTTCTCACTAACCTCGGCTCTGGGTTGTGGGCTGTGGCGAAGCCTATTAGCTGGGCTCTGACTTGAGTGTCTGTCCTCCCTCGGCCGGCCCTGTTGACCATGGGTGCTGGGCGGCACTCAGAGGCCACCAGCAAGGGCGCTGTGTTACGTGGCTCTCCAGACTACTGAAGTGAAGGTTATTTACCAAATTCTTTTGTGATCTGGTAGAGGTAGGAGTTTGAGCCCAGCACCAGGCCCTTGGCTCCGTGTCCTCAGTGGGAGTCCATCCTGCACATGGGGCCAGTCCTCAACAGGCATTCCCAGGGGTCTGACCCTGCCTCTTTGCTGCCTAGGGTCACCCCAGGGCCTTGGCCCCTGCCTTTCCCTGCAGGGGTCTTGTCCTGCTCTCTTGGGCCCCACTGCCTCCATGTCCAGGTCCCTAGCTGGTAGTGACTGCGAGTGGCCGCAGTGGTGGGGGCTGCTGAATTGATTATTGGCCAGGTCAATGGGAGTCAGGGTGTTGTGGTGCACCTTGCCTCCACATGAGGAGTCCCAGGAGACCACTCACCTGACTCTGCCCCCAGTGGGGCTCAGGGAGCTGCAAAGCTTTCGACTGCCACCCTGGTGGGTGCATCTGGGCTCTGGGCCCTCAGTGTGTGTGAAGGAGAGTCTGAAGAAGGGCTGGGGTGGGTGGGCTCCTCCTGGGGCATTGGGGCCTGGTGGGCGGAGGGAGCCCCTGTGCTCACATGGTGGGTGCTCACTTGTGGGTCTGCCAGGTGTGGAGCGCTGACCCCGGACACTTGCGTCTTGTGGGAGGCTGGTAGCTGTGGGATGTGAGCATGTGGAGGCTAGGGGTGGGGGTCTCTGGCCCCATGCGTGGTCCCTGCTGCCGTGTGCCGTGGCCATGCCTTGAGGTCCTGGAAGCTGAGAGCTGCCTCCCGGAGAGGAGGGGAGGGGCCCCAGCTGCCAGGAAGCATCGGCCTGGCGGGTCTTGCAGGTGAGGTCGCACACTGGAGGAAGATGTGGCTGCGGACAGGGAAGATGACACCGGGCAAGTCTTTCCATGAAATGAAAGGACGAAAGCGTGCTCTGGTCATTTTCAGGGAATGACTAGCTAGTCTCGTTAACAGGTGTCTTCCTTGGAAAAGTGAGGCCGGCTCCCGGGCTGAGCTGCCCCGGGAAATGCAGGTGGGTCTGGGCCCGAGATGCCATGTCCCCTGGTGTCCACATGGCGTGAGGCTTCATGTCTGGCCACGTCCCCAGCTGAGCCGGGGCTTCAGGGCCTGGCATAGACCGTGCCTGGTCCCCTGCTCACCCATCTCTTCTCTTTTGTGTTTCCTCAGAAGACAGGCGCCCCTGGAAGGTCTTAGGTGGCAGACAGCCTATCGGGAGTCAGACGGTCACGGGCACACGGGGCCCCGACGCAGGCCTGGGGGCCGTGAGCTCCACAGACCTCAGGGAGAGCGCAGGGCCCCCTTTGGCCCCACCAACCAAGCGCCACTGCCGCTCGCTGTCAGAGCCGGATGGGCTGGCCTGCTGCCGCTCCCCCTGGCGCCCCGGAGGCTCCAAGGTCTGGACGCCGGTGTCCAAGAGGCGGTGCCACAGTGGCGGGAGCGCCACCCCTCAGGGAAGCCTGGGGCCCGGCTCCACCTCCCCCCCCGCACCCCAGCCACCCTGGGCCAGCAGCGGCCACACAGACGGCTGTGAGGGCGGCCCGTGCCCCTCCTGGCGGCGCCGCCTGTCCCTGTCCCAGGAGCACCTGGTGGGACTGGGCACAGCCCTGCTGTCCACCAGCAGCAGCCGCTCGTCCACACCCGAGCTGGGCCGGCGGCTGGGCTTGCTCCGGTGTCGCTCACAGCCCTGTGTGCTCGTCGGGAGGAGATGGCGGCGCCGGCGAGAGGAGCGTGCTCGCTGGCCGCGCCCATCCTTGGACTTTCTGAAAATGACCCGGGTGAGGCTCGTCTTGTTTCCTGTGTGCTCGGCCGGTGGCACTGGTCCGGTAGTCTCTGCCCCTCTGCGGGAGCCTGGTGGCCTGGGACGTGCTCTGGGCCTGGCAGGGCTTGAGGCTGCCGTGTCCCCTGCACCAGCCTCTGTGGCCATGCCGCCTGCCTGCCTTGGTGGGGTGCTCACCCTGTGTGCATGTGTGTGCCTGTGCGTGTGTGTGTGCTTATGTGTGTAGATGTGTCAGGGTCCTGGCCCCACGTGTCCCCATGGCTCTTGGGGCCCCTGCCCTCCCTGGAGCGGGATGGCCATGACCACCTTCCAGTGTGGGGAGCCGCGGAGCAGAGCAGTGAGCTGGGGGGCAAGACGGAGCAGACCTAAGTGGGGTCCAGCAGGCAGGGGGGCAGGGCAGCTAGAAGCAGGAGGGCAGGGTGCAGCGTTGGGTGGGGAGCTGAACCCGGCAGCCCCAAGGAAACAAAGCCCAGGAGATGTGAAGCCTGCTTGTCTGTCTTTTTAGAGCGCAAGCAAGAGAGCACGAGCACGTGAGGGGGTGGGTATGGGGGGGCAGAGGGAAAAGAAGAGAGAATCTCCAGCAGATGCCCTTGCTGAGCTCAGAGCCTGACTCAGGGCTCAAGATCACACCCCGAGATCCTGATCTGAGCCAAAACCGAGAGTCAGACGCTCAACCAACTGAGCCCCAGGTGCCCTGCTTGTCTTTCTAAAATATTTTCTGTCATTGTTGGTAGATTGCTGGGTGTCCCCTGCCCCCGTATCCTCGAGGTCCCCTGTGCTGGCCCCTGGATTGGAGAGCCCCTCTACCCGAGTCCCCAGCCTCACCATCCTGTTGGCTTGCTTCACCTGTGTAGCAGCCTTCACGGAGCCCATGCGGCTTCACGCTCAGCGGGGCGGCTCTGCTCTGTCCCCCATTCGCTCTCGCTCCATGGGGCTGTGTCCCCCGCCAGCTCAATGCGCCAGATGAGCCACTTCCCAGCCATCACGTGCTGTTTGTTGGGGGCTCACTGGGATGCCATCTGGGCCTGGGCTGTGTGTTGAGGTGAGCGGACCCGCACATGCCATGTCTCTGGGGCAGTCTGCTGGGACTTCCTGAATTGACATGTTTCTGGGAAGTGGCATTGCATTTAAGGTGTCAATTTGGGGCACAAAGTTGCTCATTGTATCTTTTAGGGCTTTTAAAATGTTTGATGCGTTGGTAGCTGTCTCTTTTATTTCTGATGTTTTGAATAATTAAACGTAAACAGATAGAGGCATTGTGAGCTGTTGTGGTAGCTGATGGACATGTCCCATGGTGACCTGGGGGATGGAGGCCAGCACTGAGCCCATCCATCGGTCCTGCTGCAGCCCCGTCCCTTCCCAGCTCCCGGCCGCCCCTGGTTATGGTCTCTAGTGTGCCGTTCATGGTCAGGGCACACTGTCAGCCCATGTTTCCACTTACACCGCCTCTGGTGCCGGGCATGCAGCCTCCTGCCCATAGGTCTCTGGTCTGCAGATGCCGACAGGGGTCTGACAGTTGGTGCCCCTCTGACACTGGCTGCCATGAGTGCAGACCTTGCAGGCTGAGGGCTCAGGCTCACAAGACCACCCCTGCTTCAGATGCCTCCTGTACCTCCCACCCACCATCTACAAATCGAGGTCGAGGTTCCCACGACCTCCTGCTCAGGCTCGCAGAACTGCGGAAGCACCTGTACTAACTCATGACCCATTTATTATGAAGGACACAACTCATCATCCAGACCAGAGAGACACACAGGGTGAGGTGAGGGGCAGGGGGCGCAGAGCTCCCACCTGCCCAGTCCCCAGATGTGCTCCCCAACCCGGGAGCCCTCCCGCTCCCCTCCATCCCCTGTGCAGGGGTGTTTTATGGAGGCTCCACTGCCCAGATGCGACTTTTGAGATCATTGGCCACTGAGATGGACCACCTCTCTATCCCCTCTCTGTCCCTGGGGGTGGGGGTGGGGGACTTGAAGTCCAACCCACTAAGCCTGGCGTGGTCATTCTGTCCACTGCCCCATCCCAAAGCCGGCTAGGAGTCCCCAGGGGTTATGTTAGTGTAAACCCAGGTGTAGTTGAATGGGGCTCGTTATGAATCACAAAAGACACTGCTTACCCCATCACTCAGGAAGTTCCAAGGGTTTAGGTGGTAGGAACCAGGAATGGCCAAAGGCTAAACCCATACTTCTTGCTGTGTCAGCAGGAATCTGGGAAGGTCACTTGTCTTAACTGGACAAAGAGGTGGAAGCAGCAGCTGATCTGTTAAGGGCTAAGTGGCCAGGTTTGGTGATTCTGATGTTTTGGGCGAGACCTATGGGTTTCTCTCGGGTGCAGTGTTCACCTAGATGTCTCCTACAAGTGGGATGGACACTCATTTGTGGTCAACGTAACGGAAGGGAGCAGGAAACTTAAAAACACTTTTGGAAGTGTGGATGTGACCCTTGAGCACTGGAGGACAGGAAGTGTGTAGGTGGCTGGGGGTGGGCTGCTGGGGGCATGCGTGGGAGGTGGGTAGGGGCCGCCAGGCTCTGGGGGTGGCTGGGGTATGTGTGGGGGCAGGCGGGGACCGCCAGGCTCTGGGGGTGCAAGTGGGGGCGGGCGGGGGCTGCTGGGGTCCGGGGGCACAGATGGGTGGGCAGGGGCTGCCAGGCTCTGTGAGGCGCATGTGGGGCAGACAGGGGCTGCTGGGCTCTGGGGGGCATGCATGGGAGGTGGGCATAGGCTGCTGCCCTCTGGCTGCCGCTGGGGGTGCAGAGGCCCCAAGCATTGCCAGGGGCCACATGTGTTCCCTGATATCTTGTGCACCCTGATGTGCTTTGCTGCTGGGGGCAGGGGGTCCCCTCTAAGAAGCATGTTGCCAGTTGTGGGAAGTGGGCACATCCTGTCAGGTTTGTGGCTGGAAACCCTGAATGTTCCCTTCTCTTGAGGTTTCACATGTACACAAGGCTTCTCAGAACCGGCCTGGGCAAAGCACCATGGGGGAAACTGAGGCAGGGCATGACAGGGTTTGGATGGCTGTCCCGGGGCCCGCCTTCAGACGCGTCTGTTGTCCACGTGAAGGTGCGGCTATGAGCAGGGACAGGAGCTTCTAGGTGGCTCTCGCATCCTTCCTGCGTGTGTGTGCCATGGTCTGATGCTCCTGACATCAGCAGGCCACTTTTGTGCCTTGACTTGAAGCCGGGGGCGGGAGGGTTGGGGGCGGGTAAGAACGTGGGGCCTTTGACTGCAGGCCAGCACTGGATGGCTGAGCAGCCCACTGCCCTGCCCCCTACAGTGGCCACATGGTAGGTCACCCAGTGGCCCCTGAGGCTTGGCTCCGGGCCGCCCTCCTCTGGGCCCAGCAGGGCCTGAGGCTTGGCTTTGGTCAGCGAGGAGGGGACACTGGCTAATCCTTGTTCTGGGTAAGCGACCGTCTCCACAGAAAAACGTAGAGAGTTTTTAATTTTTATTGGCAAAGTTATGTTTCAAAGTTGAAATTAAAACATCATTATAGAAAATGTGCAGATAGTCGTGGTTCCAGCCGAATATAGGAACAGGTGCTAGTTTTTTTGTTTTTGTTTTTTTTGGTTTTGTTTTTGCCTTTGTTTTTATGAAATTATGTGTTTTCAGGGTTTTCAGAAGCCTTTTTAATGTGCAGGACATTCTGAGCCATCTATGGCGTGATCGCAGAGCTGCTCCAGCCTGTGACTCGGACGTGTGGCTCCCTGCCTCTGGGTCAGCGTGGCCTCCATGGCAGACTCAGCCCCCGAGGAGGGCGGGTGTAGTCAGGGTGGGGCAGACGGGGGAATGCACACACTTCCGCTGCCTGGAGCCATGTGCCAGTCTGTGGCACGTGGCATGTGTGGCACGTGCCGTAGCTTATTGGTCACCTGTGGCTTTCTATCAGTTTGTCATCTATGATGTTGGTTCTTGTCTTTATTTTTGTTACACCTAGTCTTTTAGGGGTTTTGGCAGGGACTCTAGCTGTTGACTTCGTGAGGGTCCCCTCATGAGGACAAGGGAACCAACTCATTGTCTGAGTGGACAGCTGGGTGGTGACTCGTGGCATCTCATCCTAAAGTCCCTGGATAGGTTGTTGAACGAGACAGTTGTGAAAGAGAACACAGCCGGCAAGCAGTGGGTGGCCTGGGGTTGAACACGCGGGGGTGTTCATGGACTTTCCACGCCCACCTAGACAAGGGTGGGCAGAGGCCTGAGCCCCTGCAGGGCGGAGGAGGGAGACCCCGTCCTCCGGATCAGGCAGCGTAGGGGTGGCTGGTGGGGGGCTGCCCGGGGACACGTGGGTGAGTGGGTCCTGCAGGCGGAGGGACCCCTGGTTCTTCAGGCTGTTGTGGTTACTGGAGACCTGGAACTTATTGAACAGACCGTGGCATCCACGGCCCGAGAGTCAGGGACTCAGCTTGCCATCCTGTGGCTGGGGTCACGTCTTGTCTGCTCCAGCAGGCTTGCTGTGGCACTCCCTGGGGGCTTGCAGCAGAAGGGGCGCTGGAGAATGTGCGGGTCTGCAACTGTCACCACTCTCCACGAGGCACAGCCAGCGAGGTGTGTCGGCGCATGTGTGTGCACGGGGCGGTGGGGGGGCTTTCTCTGCTACCCACTGGCATTTGGGGTGGGCAGCCCGGGCTGTGTCGGGACGCCTGCAGTGTGGGGCTTGTCCTCTGTCTGCTTAGGGGCTGTTCCTGCCCCATCTGCGAGTCTCAGTTTGAAAACTTGATCCTTTCATTTATGCGTTAGCGTCGGGGTGTCACATCTGCTGTCCTTTAACTTTTCTCCTTTCCTTGCTCCGTTAGCAGGTTATTTTGTTACTTACAGTTAGGTGGGAGGTGAGGCTATGAGCACTGCACCGCTCTATGGGCAGAGGGATGTTGTTATCCTTGTGGTGACAGCAGGCCCAGGGTTACACTCTGGTCCCCACTTTACATCAGAGGTGGGCGCCGGGGTTAGGTGTCAGGTGTGGGTACTGGAGTTAGGTGTGGGCACCGGGGTCAGGTGTGGGCGCCAGGGTCATGTGTCAGGTGTGGGCTCTGGGCTCAAGGGTCAGATGTCGATGGTGGGGTCAGGTGTGGGCACCAGGGTCCAGAGCAGATGCTAGGGTCAGGCATGGGCACCAGGTCAGGCACAGTGTGGGACACACAGGCCCAATGGCTGGGGCACTGGGAGTGTGCAGGTCCTGGGCATGAGGTAGGGGGAAGGTTGTGGGAGTGGGTGCCCCTCAGGCCACTGCAGGCTTCTCCTGTGGGGTCAGCACAGATCTTTGAGTGGTGACGGGAGCGTCCCCAGAGGCCCCAGGCAGCCCAGCTCGTGCTCTCTGGGTGGTGTGGGTGGGAGGTGTCCAGGTGTGTGTGTAGTCCAGCTCCGCACTGGCCCTCTCCACACATGTGGGCACCTTTCCTTGCTGTGGTGTTATTTAGGGGAGCAGTCTTCTTGGGTGGAGCCTGCCAGTGGGGGAGGTTTGGGAGACTGTGTGAATCCAAAAGTATTTCTGTCCTGTTCTCCGTGGAGCAGTTCCTTTGGGCTCAGGGGGCACTGCTGGCTGCCTTCTGGGCCAGTGTTGCTGCGAGGCAGGTGGTGCGGCTCGGACTTCCTCTCTGCCCTTCGCACTCTGGGGCTTCTGGGTGACAGACCTGGTGTGTCTGTTTTGTGGACGGTGCCGTGTGCGGGGCTGCATCAGGTAGTTTCCTGGATTGTGGGGTGGGGGATTGGGTCAGCGTGCACATTCACTGGCCCTCCCTGCCTTGGTGCCCGCAGCCTCCAGGACCCCAGCTGTCCAGACGTCGGGGCTCCTGTAGGCCATGGATTCCCTGCTTGTCCTGCTTCAGGGCTGGAGCCCTGTCTCCAGGGATGCTGGCAGTGGATTTGGGTTTGGGGCTGTTTCTCACCCCTGTACTGCCTGCTCCTCCATACTGTCCTTTCTGGTTTCCAGCCTTACTTGTCTTCCCTGTTAGAGGCCACGGATGTTCTGTGACACTTCATGTCAGTTGGGCTTTGGACCAGAGGCTCTGTCTTGTGGGTGTGGCCCTCTGGCCTAAGGTTTTTGGGGGTGACCTGAGTCTCCCACATGCTGGGAGCGCCCATCTCTGAGTTTGCTGTGGGGTCAGGTTCCATGGAGAACATATCCGGTCCCCACCAGGGCAGGCTGGGAGCTGATGGGACTCTGTGCTCAGGGTGTAGATGTCCGCTAGGCATCTGTTTGCCCGTGTTGTCCCTCCCCCAGGCTGAGACCCACCAGTCCTTGGTGTCCTGGACCGTCCCCACCCCTGTGCTGGCCCGTAAGTAGGGGCAGGGTCGAGGGATCCCATTGCTTCCCAGCCAGCTTCCTCATTCCAGCTCTCTCACCCAGCACACTCAGACACACTCAGCACCCCTGCACACACGTGCACCTGCTGGTGTACACCCCATGTGTGATGTGGACCTTCAAAGCCCTGCAGGCCTCTGTGGCTTGAGCCAGGCCAGCCTCCTCCCTCAGCTGGCCGAGGACGGCACTTGGGTTTGCCATGTGGGTCCACGTGGGGCTTCTTGTTGCTGGGCGTCTCTATCTCTCTCCACAGCCAGAGCCCTGGTTGGACCAGTGCTCGTGGGTGCTGGGCTCCAGGCGCCTGCAGGCAGCTGGGCCCCCCCAACCGGGATTCCTCCTTGGCCCTGGCCTTCAGGATGGCTGGGGCCCTGTGGGCCCCAGGGGTAGGGTCTGGTCTGGCTGAGCAGAGGCACGAGGAGCCCCCCGCCGCCGTGGCTGAGGCTGTGCCGTCCAGGAGTGCAGGTCCGCATGCCGTGGTTTGGAGACGGCTTGATGCCTCAGTGGGTGCCCATGGGGCTGGCTGTGTCCTGGAAAGTCCTTGAAGGGAACTTGGGATGGCTCACGGGTGCCTCTCTGTTTTCTCTTCAGAGTCTCGCTGCTTAGCGGGCGCTGCGATGTTGGCTTGGGGTGGTGGAGGCACTGGGCGCCGGCTCGTACCCCCAGGAGGTCAGAGCCTGGCTCTGGGGCTGCGGCATCCCTGCGGATGGCACACAAGCTGGGGGACCCTTTCAAATCGAGAACCCCTCATTTATAATTAAAGTCTTGACGTTCGACTTTGGAAAAAACATAGTTTATGTTTATCTGCTTCAGTGGGTGACCTGAAACTAGAGTGACGATAGCAGTGGCGGAACTGTCCAGGCAGAGGGTCACATGTGGCCACGTGGCCCCAGCCACCCCGAGGGGGCCTTATAGCCTGGCTGCCCGTTGTCCCCAGTGTTATGTGGGGGTGCACCCCGGGCACGCGGCTGATGCCAAATGTGGGTCATAGCTCTGCGTGTGTGGCTTCATCAGCGGCCGCTACATCTCCCAGGGAGCCTGAGTGGCCATGCACAGAACCTGCTGCTTTCCAGCTGCCACCCGTGGGTGGGCTCCCGGCCCAGCGACAGAGGCCCTTTCTGCAGCGGTCCTTCCGCCACTGTCCAGCCACTGCTGGCTCACGTGTGTGCCATGGGGTTGGGGGCCAGGCAAGAGCCCAGCCAGGCTACAGAGACAGGCCGTGTACTCAAGGAGTGACCCTCACGGTCACATCCACCTCAATTTGAATAAAGAAGTTATTTCATGAGCCCTTGTTCTGTGAGCAGACTGTATGACCAGTTGCATCTTTAAGGATTGAATCATTAGAATTTTACTTTTCTGTGGCTTAAATATTATAGAACAACAAGGAAAGTCTGGCTGTTTCCTAGAGCCAAATAGTTTCCTTTTTTTTATTTAAGTATTTTATTTATTTATTTGACAGAGATCACAAGTAGAGAGGCAGGCAGAGGGGGGGAGAGGAGGATGCAGGCTCGCCACTGAGCAGAGATCCTGATGTGGGGCTCGATATCAGGACCCTGAGATCATGACCTGAGCTGAAGGCAGAGGCTTTAATCCACTGAGCCACGCAGGCACCCCCAAATAGTTTCCTTAAAAGTGCTGATTTCAAAGAGGATTTCTACTCTCCTAAGGGGCAAGTGTTTGTTTACTTGAATTCATGGTGGGACAGTTTCTAGGAAATTTTCTGGCCAAGGAAATGGTCTGTTAGGAGGCAGGTCCCGGCTCTGGAAAGTTTGGGACTTGGCTGCGTGGCATTGTTTCGGCTTGTGCTCTGGGCTCCCAGATGTAGGTGCCAGGGCCCCGGTGAGAGTGTGGGAGTGGCTGCATCCCCAGGACCCACCCCCTTCTGTGTGCTACAGGTGACCTTCTGGGACCCTGAATCACGTGCTGACCCCTGTGTGGGGGCGGGTCAGAGGGGAGCCTGACCCCAGAGTCGCTGAGGTCACAGCTGGGCAGGTGGGAGGCTTCTCCAGCTGAGGGGTCTGCACACAGTGGACCCCATGCAGGTGCTGCCCCAGAATGCAGGGCTGGGAGTTTGGGACAAGGCCAGGGGGTGGTGTTGGTGTTGGGGAGACGGGGCCTGACTGGGCCAAGGGGGCTGCTGTTGTGTGTGGTCTGGAGGTGGGCCTTGGCTAGGCGTGAAGGGGAGGAGGCAGCACACGCTCCCAGTTCCTGGGTCAGGAACCCTAAACAGGGCTGGGGGGCCTGCTGGATCTTAGGTCCCTTGTGGAGTAGCTGAGGTGTGGGGGGGTGCCACTTGAGTGGGCAGGGCTCTGTTTGCAGCTGGGGGAGAGCGCTGGTGTTGGACAGGATGGCTCTGGGCGCCTCCGTCTCTAACAGCACAGGGAAGATTTGGCTGGAGGGCTGGGGGAGGCAGTGCCAGCCCATCTGGGGAGTGGGTCTCAGTGGTGCAGATTCCTGGGTCAGCGCTGGAGGCCTGTCACCCTGGGCAGGCTTGAATGTGGTATGTGGGTGACACACAGGGAACCCAAGATGCTTTATGTGAATGTGGGGATCTGTTTCTGGGTCACTGGGACACTGCCTCCCGTGTAACCCTGTGGAAATGCTTTAAGCCTGTATCTTTTCTGTTGCAGACTTTAAAAAATTCAAAAAGCCTTTGCTCCCTTGATTATGAAGATGAAGAGGAGGATGACAGCCAGGGGAAGCTGGCCCCGTATGACCCACATGGCCTCATGGGTGTCGTCACGCCCGGCTCCAGCCCATGGAGCGTGCACCCCAGCCCCCGCTGCACTGGCCCTGGCCCCTGGGCCTCTTGGGAGCCTGTGGCCGCTGAGGGTGAGGGCGGCAGCGGCGGGGACCCCAGTGATGGGGATAGCGTGGGGGAGGAGGGTGCCTTTCCTCCTGGCCGTGGCGAGCTGGACCTGGGGCAGATTGAGAGCAACTGACCCCAGGCGGGCAGGGCGGGGGTCCGGGCTGGCAACGGACAGAAGCTGGGCTACGCAGAACTTTGAACAATAGGTATAATTTTTATCCAGTCTTTCCTAAAGAAGTATTTTGGATTTTTATGGCCGTTACAGTTCTGGAGAAAGCTGCTCTATTTTGAATGAGTTTTTGGAAGGGCGTTCTATGAAATGGGAGCTGTCGGCTGATGGTAGAGTGGGCGTGTGTCCCTTTTCTGAAATCCCTGCCATGCAGGGCACGGGGGGCCGTGGGTGCTGCCTGGCCCACCGCGGCCAGTTTCCTGCCAGCTCTTCAGAGCTTGGACAGTGGTCTGATTTCAATAAAAGGAGTTTGCTTCCCCACGTTTATTTCTGGCTGAAAGCCGTCGGGCCTCGAGCCTGTGGGTCTCACACAGCACAGGGATTTCATTTAATAAAATGGGGGATTTCTGCCCAAGACACTGACCTCAGGAGGTTTGAGTAGGGGGGTACGGTTTGTGGTAGTGGAAGAAAACACTGATAACCTTTGGAGACATTTTCTTGATTTATTCACGCCAAAGAACATTTCCCAAGGTCACAGCCATTCACAGCGGCCACCGTCCCTGGTGCAGATATAGATGGAAGGTGCCGGTCTGCAGGACGCTGGGCTTTCTGGGGCCTGCCCGCCAGCCCATTCTCTGCAGGATGGGGGGTCCTTTGGCCCACTGACCTGGCCACGTGGTTATGTCCCACCGCACCGGGGCTGACACATGCATTCGCGGAGGTCGGAAGTGGCCATTATGGTTTCTCCAATGACTGTGGAAGAACTCTTTTCCTCCCACCCTGGGTTGTAGTCTGAGGGTCCCTGAGACTCTGGGGGTGCTCAGTTCATCTTGTTTGCTCCCTGGAGGGCCTCCTGAGGGAGCAGGCACTCTGAGTCTCAGCAGTTGTGCTCTGGCCATATGGGTGCAGAAAGCTGCCCGTGTTTTGTTCTAGAATAGTCCACTTGTCCAGTTAGTGGCTCTCAACCATGGGGGAGTTTAGAAAACACTGGCGTCTGGGCTCCTCCGGGGTGTCGCCCGCACGGGATGGGGATGGGAGTTGTTGGGAGGTGTCCGGGTTTAACCCAAAGAGGAGAGAGAGATGATGCAGGTGTGGCAGAGCTGTCCCCCCTGCCCCAGGACACCGAGTCACCCTTGGTCCTCAGTGGCCTCTGGGGCTGGCAGACCTTTGGCCATGTAGTCTGGAGTGGGATCAAAGCCAGCAGGACACCTGCAATGCCAAGGAACTTTTGGGGTCATGCAGGTGCCCACGGGTGTCATCGGCGTCCCCAGAGCCAGCACCTCGCCAGGCAGGAGGGGGAGGGGCCCAGAGAGCCTCCGGGACCCATAGGCAGGCCCTTGGTGGGCATGTGACCTGGGTCTCAGGTGGGGGGAGATGGGAGGGGGCCTCGGGGGGACAACATGGAAGGGTACCGGGCTGCTAGACGGTCCTCCCAGGTGAGTCCTTGGCTGCTGCTGGCTGGGGGTCCCGGGCTGGGAAAGGACAGGAGAGCATCAGAGACAGAGGGTATGGACTGTGAGTGGGAGCAGGTCCAGGTGGCCCCCAGACTGGGGACTTTTGGGGAAGGGGGGGTGGGGGGATGTAGGGCTCCTCACATCCAGCAGGCTGGGAGAGTGCCAACCGCTTGTCAGTGTCTAGCTCTGTGGGGGGGCAGTCGGGATAGAGCAGGCAGGGGAGGGCCGGACCAGGTAAGGTCCGGCAGTGGCACGAGTGTGGACATGGCAGGGCCATTCATCCCCTGCGCCATGGAGAAAGCTTGCTATCCCTGGTGCTGACCCTCCCAGGGTACAACTCTGGATCAGCCCAGTGTCCCCTCCTGTGGGGCGGTGGGCTGGCTTGGAGGGGCTCCCCAGCTCAGTCCCCCTGGAAGCAGCCCCTCATCTGGGGCTGCCCCCACCCCAGGGCTCCTGCTCTTCCCCTGGACCCTGTCCCCTCTCCTGGGCCCTCCCCACTCCAGGCCTCCTAGTGCAGGGGGTGTTGGCTTCCGATAGGGTGCTAAGGCTGGGAGATGGGAGATGGGGCCTCTTGGCTGAGAAGCTGGACAGCAGCCACCCTCCACTTGCCCTCACAGCCCAGGCTCCCTGTATCCTCTGTCCAAGGCTTCATCCATCACCCTCCACACTCCCCCAGAGACCTCCCCCCAACCTTGAGGGTTGGCCTTACTCTTGGGGCCAGTGCCTGCACCCTCCCTTTGGCCTCAGTGTCGCCTGCTGAGCGACCTCCAGAGACCAGGCCAGGGAAGGCAGCCGTTGGGGATGGGTGGGCCCTGAGCCCCCTGTCCACAGCCCCAGCCACCTATCTGCTGGCCTGTGCACGGGGCCCTCATGGCCGTGGTCCTGGCCAACTATGCACCTGCCCACCAGGCGGCTCAGGAGGCTCTGAGGGAGGAGGCATGGCCAGGGGCCTTGGCCATGATGGGCAGTGCTGGGGCCAATGGGGCTAGCCCCCTTTGTGTGCAGGGCTCTCATCCCTTGTTCTGGGCTTTCCCTGGCCACCTCTGCCTGTCTGCCAGTGCCCAGACCCTGCAGACCTTCTGCCTCCCTACTGGCTGGAGCGAGGTGACAGAGGGCAGTGGTGGCCGGGGGCAGGTGTCTGCAGCTCTTGCCTTTCTACCCAGCGGGAGAGACGATGCTTTCACCTTCTGTGAAGACACGGGTTGTGACCCCCTGCCTGTCTGACCTCTGGGTGGAAGAGGACACCCCCCGCCCCGGAGGACCCCATGCTGGTCCCAATGGCCTCCTGACACCTGGCCAGGGACACAGATGCAGACCCCTCTGTGGAAACATCAGAGAACCAGGTCTCGGGGCCCCCATCTTGCTCGTTTGGCAGATGTTGCTAAATGACTGTGGGACGCCAATACAGGCCTGGGGAGGTGAGGGACAGGCGCTGGTGTGGGCCTGGGGAGGAGGGACGGGTGCTGGCATGGGCCTGGAGAGGTGAGGGATGGGTGCTAGCGAGGACCTGGGGAGGCAAAGGACCAGCACTGTCAGGAAGTTGGTTCCACCGCATGCACAGCTCCAGGAGGGGAGCAGCCTGGGGGCTCCAGGGTGGCCTGGGACTTGGGGGGAACAAGGGTCCAGATGCCCTGCCTAATGCACTATCTGAAAGTGGACAAAGACAGCCCATGAGCCGAAGGGAAACCTACAAACTATTTCCAGAAGTTATATGCTACAACAAAACCTGACAAAATTCCAAGCAGAAATCCACAAATCCGACCTAGCTGGAGGGTTTTATTCATCCCCTTGTAGCAGTTACGGGGACCCCAAGAGGAAACAGTACGGACGTACAGGATTTGATCACCCAGCGGGTGAGCCCCAGCCCATCAGCGGAGCCCCTAGCAAGGGGGTGGGTGCTGCCAGGACTCGGCCCTGGGGAGGCCAGAAAGAAAATATCTGTGTAGTTCCAGGCACCCATATCACACAGACTGTTTTCTTGCCATACCCCAACAACAAAAAGCAAACAAAACCTCCTGTGTTTGGGAAATTTAAAAAATGCACTTTATGTAACTCATTGACCAAAGAAGAAATCAACGTAAGGGTTAGACAATACTTAGTACTGAATGATCCTGAAAATGGTACACATATCAAAACTTGTTAAATATATCTTAGGTTGTAGAAGGAAGAACATCTAAAGCCTACATGATTATATTAGAAAAAATGAGTGGGAAGTGAGCCAGCCTAGCTTCCAACTGAAGAACGAGGCAGAGGTCAGCAAATGTCCTTGAAAGGAAGGAAGTATTTTGGATTTTGAGGAGCGCAGGTGGTGTCTGTCCTTACCCCACTCCCCGATTTCATCCCTGCACTGTCATCTGCTGACCCCCGACTGTGGGGAATGAAAGAGAAAAGTCAAAGGGAAAAGTGGGAGCGCGATCCTGAGAGCAGGCGATGAGAAGGCAGCTTGAGGAGACTGCTTTGCCAGACTGGATGTGGGGAGCTGCACCGGGAAGGGCTGGGGGCCAGATAGGTTGTCCTCGGTAGGTGGAGGAGCTGCTCAGGCCGTGAGGAGAATGGGGCTGGTATGAGTGACGTGGAAGGAATGGACACGTTCCTAGAAGAAGGGCATCAACAGGTGAGTGGAGAAGAGAGGGACGTCAGGGCTGGTCCTGGACCATGCTGTGTGACGAGAAGCTGTGGTTCAACACCTTCCTGTGTGGAAAGCACCAGCACAGGCTGACTTTTGAGGCCAGTCTCGAGAAATACGCAAGTGTGACCCTGATATGGAATTGGACACGGGCAGGGATGAGGGTGGTAGGGGCTGCTGATGGCCGACTACTGACCACTGTGGCCACAATGGTGGAGAAGCCCCCAGGGTGGGCCTCTGAGAGCCTCCTCTCCCTGCTCCCCTGCCCGCCCTTCTAGGTGGCTGGAGGGGACTGGGGCACCAGGGATGGAGCCCACAGGGCCCTGGGGAGCCTCAGCTGGGCCCGCCTGGGCAGTGGGCCCTGAAGGCACCCTTCCCACTCACTCTCTTGCCGCCTGCACAGCCTCCCGTGTGCGTGAAGAAGTTCAGGGCGCTCCCACTGTGCCCCAAGTTCAAGGTCATGGGCAAGCAGGGTCTGGCTCCTGCAGCTTTCATCCCCACCCTCCAGACAGTGGGGGAGGAGGCCCTGGTCCGCTCACAGGGGTGTCAGCCCATGGAGCCAAGCCCCTCACTCCCTCTCCCTGTGCCTGTGACCTTGGCCCCCAGTAGGGGCCAAGTCCTCTCGATTTCAGCCCTGGCATCATGTCAGACAGGAAGCCTGAACCAATCCCCCAACGTCCAGTCACATGCTTTTTCTAATTGCCTGCAGCTGTGGATATGGCTTCTTTAAGCCTTGTTAAGTTACTTTTGTTAATTTATATTGTCCTAGAAAATGGCCCATTTTATCGAGATCTGACGTGTTGGCTTGTCACTCTGCGCCTCTGCCCCCCTCCCCCTCCCTGTGCGTGGCCCTCGCGGCCCCACTTCTCCCACTCTCTGGTTGGAGGTTGCTTTATTTTGTTTCTTTATTTTGAGGACCGGCTCTTGGATTTACTGATGAGTTCTTCCATTTTTCTTGTTTCCAATTCATTAATTCGCCTTTATCTTTACCCCTCCTGCTCCCGTGGATTTACTTTATTGTTCCATTTTCCCTCCTCATGTCAAATGTTTACGGTGTTTATTATCAGTCTTGCTTGCTCAGTAGTAAAAGCATTTAGGGTTGTGAATTCTCCACCGGGCCCTCCTGAAGCCAGCTCCGCGGGTGTGTGGCCTCTCTCTCCTGGACGGCTGTAAATCCCGCCCCGGCAACTTCTACTTACTCTCTGACTTGGGAGTTATTTAGGGGAGTGCTTCTGAATTCCCAGC